TGGTTTTGTTTGTGAGCAAGCAATTACAAGCAATCTACCTACTCAAAAAGTCTTTGTTCTTTTCTTCTTCCTTTAGATAGTGCTACTTCACCATTGATTGGTAGAGAGCCTTATCATTGGATGTGAGGGACAGGCGTGGGTCATCGTACAGTTATAGAAGGCAACTTGTAAAATGTTTTAGCAATTGTCGTAAGGGACTAATATCATTTATCGAAGGCAACATTTGAAGGGTCATCGGGGGACTATGATTTTTTGATCGAGGATCTTTGCTAAAACATCTCACGTTCGAGGGACATGACTGATTTAATTTGAGGCAACAAGTGTGGGTTACTCTAGAGGTGCATGTGCACAAAGTGTGATTGATTCAATTATTTCATCTTCTAATTAGGGTTTTCTAATGTTGGTTTTAGTCTTGTCATGCAAACCCTAATTACTAATAAATAAGGAAAGCGATAAATTGCGGAATTTAAATGTCCTACGCTATTACGACGCTTTGGGAATGGGGGGTACAAGTTGTAAATAGAGGAAGGAAAGCAATAAAGCTCTAATCATCTATTACAAACCATTGAATATGAATATAATGTAAAAACTGTAAAGAGGAAAACGAAATTGTTTTTTAGAGTTTTTTGATAGAAAAAAGTTTTAGTAATTAAGCTAATTAAATTTAATTACAAGAGAAATTAATAAACTTGAATAAGATAAACTAAGATAAAAAAATTAATTTAAATGGAGAAATAGTTTAAATATAGAAACCTAAATCTAAATTAAATCAAAAGAGAATTTAATTGTTAGAAAAACATTTTTGAGGTTTTATTGGTTTGAAAATAAATGTAAGAAATAAAATAAAATAAGAAGAATGGAATTAAAATATTTTAAACTTAATTATTCAAGAAAAATATATTTTTGTATTTTTGATTAAATAAAAATAAATAAAAAAATAAAAAAATAAGATATAAAGAATATGAAAATATTGGGCTTGGGGTGTTGAAAAGTAAAAGAGGTGGTTAAAAGTTAGCAAAAAGGGCGCTAGGCCCAAACATATGTTTTTGTTGAGTCCAAAAAAATGATGGGTCTGTTAGCATGAGAAACAAAGGGGGTGAGAAGAACAAAAATTCTAGGCCCAATAGAGAAAGTCCAACGTCTGTTTGTGATCAAGTGTGGCTGATTTTTGTGAGTGTACCACGGGCTTGCATCATGGGGCGCTGGATTTGAATTGCTGAACATCCAATGGTGTTGATATGAGGCTCATGATAGACGCCTTGTAAATGATTGCATTGGATCTGAAACAAATAAAAGCTCATGATAGACGCCTTATAAATGATTGCATTGGATCTGAAACAAATAAATGTGAAACAAATAAAAGGATACCACTGGGGCTCGAACCCAGGTCCCTACACACTAATGCCTTACGCATACTTCCTCTGCCACTGGGGTGGCTGTTTCATTCGGTCATAATACAATATGCAATAAACTTAAAATAAACTTAGTCCTGAATGTTTGAAATGACTTCATCTTCAACCTTGCGCATGCAGAGCAACAACATCATTGCTATGAATTCTGATCTTGCTCATTTCTCAACCATTTTCAAAATTGTAAACATGAAAGTTGTTCCATTTTTCACAATGAATCCAACCATATAAATAACTAAAGCTATAAATCAAAGATAAACATGAATTTTGTTTGGTATCAAATAAAACCTAATTTTTCAAAAAGTTCAAACTCAAAATTCCCATCACTCAGGCAACATAAATAAAAATTAAAGGCACAGTTAACTTCAGGGCTATGATGTCTATATTTTTCATTTACAAAGTAACCATTAATGATGCTTGTAGAGAGAGTTCAAAGTTGAGAAAACATACCTCAAAACTGGAAATCATGTATGGAGTTTGAGCACCCCTGGAAGTGTGGTGATGATCTGGATAGCTTTATTGGACTCCTAGGAAGCTAATGCAACTCTTAATTTATGCTAAAAGTGCCTGAATCGTGCTGGAGAAGTCAAGTTCCAGAGCTGAGTTTTTGGAAATAGAGGATGGTGTAATTGAAGTTACAGTTGTGTAGCAAGGATGGGGATGAGTTGTATATGATGTATGGAAGCTTTGTGATTGACTTAGAGTGAAAACGCACGAGGAATTAGGAGTTTGGTGTTTAAAGTCAGAAATGACAAGTTATGGAGTTTTTTGTGCAAATTATGATTTGAGGAAGTATGAGAGAGTTTCAAGGCTTGTTCACTCGTGTTTGGATTGAAAAATAGTGTCTCTATTTATAGGGAAAGGTTGGAAGGGAGGAGAACATCAGGTTTGTAAGTTACAAAGTTATGGCTAGGTGACTTAGTTTTGAAGCAACATTGAGATAACCTTGTTCCAATGCATAGTACAAGGCTTGTAGGGTGGTTGACAGACTTGTAGATGTGTTGCTTCTGGCTTTGAGATTGTGTAAGCTTAGAAGAAACAAGTGCAAGGCTCAAGGAGAGTGGACTTTATGATTAAATCCACTTTTCCAACATGGAAGTGTGAACTTTCTTCCTTAAATGGCAAGTCAACTTGGACAATACTTGAATCACTTGGACAATAGATCAAACAATTGTGAACATTAAATTATTGAGTTATTTGCAAGTTTGAAGGTCTGCAAATCAAGATTGATCCATTGTGAAGTTTGTTGTGAGATCTTTCAAATGCTTCAAGAATCATCTCATAAAGCCTCCTGAGTTGTGTGCACCATGGCTGCAAAGTTAGTACCTTGAAACTGAAGTTTTCCTCCAAAGTTAGATTTTGATTTTCATAATGTGGCTTCTAAACACCAATTTTGTGCGTGTTTTTTCACTTAAACATGTTTAACAAACTTGCTCATACTTGTTTAAGCGTCAAAACGTAGGAATTGGATGAGTTTTGACAACTTTAAGTCACACTTTTCTCATTTTTGGGTTGCACACAGTTCCCCTTCAAACCTCATTGTTTCTTCCAACTCTCAGTGTCATTCACTCTCCTATAAATAGAGGCACATATTTCATTCATTTTCTCAAGCTTAGACAATCACAATTACCCTGCCAAAGTCTCATTTGAAGCTTGAAATTTGAAAATTCATTTAATAATTTCAAGCCTTCTCACCTCAAATTCTCTCCTTATTCTTCTTTCTCAACTCTTATACAAATTCTCCATTACCTAAACCAATCAATTTGATCCATAAATCAAGTTACAAAAGTTCAGTTTCAGAGCAAACCTTTTGAGTCTCGTTCAGATAATTTTCTTAACCAAATTGATCCAAACAAGTTACTAATTTGTTGTCCTCCTTCTTCTGATTCTCATACTTCTTTTAATTTTCGTTTTCATCAAGAATTGAGCATTTATTTATAAATTTAGTTTTTCAATTTTCACTGGTTTTTCTCAAACCGACTGAGCCATGGTTTAAAGAAATTTTTCGCAAGGGCGAAGTTAGGATCGTCTAGAAGAGACGAATCCAATGATACCGGATTGAACTTCAAACGATTCCGTTTGAAGAATCTCATAAAAATCCAATCCGCAGGGGTCTGGAGGTTGAAGATGACCTACATGTCGTTCTTTAACCAATGATTGTGTGACAATTATTTTAATTTCATTGGTTTGTCTTTTACTTTTTCTGTGTTTTTTTAATAAGGTCCATAACATGCACAACGTGCCAGGTCCCTCATATCTGCTTACTAACGCGTTTGACAATGATCAGATGCTCCATATTATTTTGGTTTTATTTTATTTTCTGATTTATTATATTAAATTATTTTAAACTTCGAAAATTCATTAAAAAAAATCATTTCAACTTCTAAAATTGTGGAAAAAAATTATAAAAAATACTTTTGATTTTTCTCTTTCTAACTTTTATTTTGTGATTTGGTATTTTTTATGATTTTTCACTTTATTTGATTTGTTTTAATCGTTTAAAAATACTTTTTAGTCATTTTAAATTCTGGAAAAATCATGGAATGATCCAATGACCTCTTGATAAATATTGGTGACCTCATTTTTTTTATTTTACTATTTTTCACAAATTTTGTCTTATTTTACTCATTTCTTTATATTTTAAAAATAATTTTCGAGTTTAAAAAAATTCTTAAAAAATTGGTCAACACTTGTTGATTTATGTTTGACCTCTTATGTTTTTTTAAGATTTTTATTTAGTGTTTTAATATATATTGTGTATTTTACCAATTATTTTCTTTTTATAAACCATTTAAATTTTATTTTTATATTAAATACATTTTATTATTGGTCCTGATTTGAAAACACTTACTGTTATTTTAGGACAAATTCCTCAATCTAATTAAATCTTGAGTGTTGATTGGTTGAAAAACCAAATCCACCAATAAAATCAAGTTCATACAAGACCTTGAGGGACTACATAATCCATTTTAACAAACCACAATAAGGGTAATCAATCTCAATCATGAAATGTTCAATGCTACATTTCAAAACGGTCTAAAGTTCAAACATTTCAATGAATCCCCAACACATAAGATGCCCACTAACATTCAGAAAACCACGAAGCATGTGGAGTGTTACATCAAAGGAGAAAAGAGTAATTTGGAGAAAAAAAAGCTTAGATGCCAAAGAAGAAGAAGAAAAAGGAAGTAAAATTATTATCTAAAGTAGACGATCTTCTTTTAAGGCGGTGGTTAGAACCGTCACATTGAGGAGCATCACAATGTTTTGGATAATAGTTTTACTACCTTTCTGGTACTCTTTTGTTGGCATATACTCATTTTCTCTATGTTACTAATTTCTCATTTGATTGATGTAAATATTATGCATGCTTCATTTTGAAGTACATCAACAAACATTTCATGATTCATTTTACTTACCCTTATCATGGTTGTGTTAAAACATGTCAAGTAGTCGTTCAAGGTTGCAGTATAACCTTAACAGAAGTTGAACAGGCTTGTCGCTAACACTTGTTAATGTTTGTCACTGAGAACTAATGAATTTGATTTAGAGAAAAGTCAGGGTAGTTGATGATTGAGTGTCGTTGAAGATTCATGCCCGCAGAAGTGAAGTGTTCTTCAAAGTTTCCGAGAAGAACTTCTTTTTGTTTAGTGTCTCCAAGTGAAGAGGTTCGAAATTCTCAAAAGCTGAAACCTCCCATATTTCTATATTTCCTGACAACATTAATGATCGTCTAAAGAATTGTGTTATATAACCATCTCTTGTTGTATTTAGTTTATCATGCGAAGTAAATTTCTTAGAGAGCCTTATTATCCTCAGGATGAGTATTGGACTCACCATTTTAGCCTAACCTAATGTAATGAATTTGGTCGGAGAATTGTCTTTTCTGCCTCCCAAAGACAGAGACTAGATGTTCACGCTAAGTATATGTTGAACATTGCTAGCAATATGTTCTGAAAATTACCGTATGATATTTTAGTATGTTCTAAAGAGTGAAGCCTAAGGTTTTGCACTGAACTCATAATATATTTAGAGGAGAGGTTCACATGGTCCTTCATATTCACTTATGACCGTATAATATTGTTTGAATGAAAATAAAACTCGTATACTCTGCTATATAGACTTCTGTTTTACTCAAGTATTGTGAGCTGGCAGGGTACCGAGAAACTTATGATGATCCAATATATTTCCTTGTCATAGGGCAGAACACATGATATCTGTGCAACTCTCCTACCCCTAAAAAATTGTGCACTTGGTAATATCATGTGAAGACAATTTCATGAGGCATTTGATCAATTCACCAGTGATTGGTAAATTAAACAGAAAAGCTATAAGTAGAAAAAAATCAGCATGGATCAGCTACTAAAACTGAAATATAACTAATAAAAAGCAATCCACATTCATTTTATTCAGTCTTAGTTCAGTTCCAACTTCTAGTCCTAATAGTTCAGTTCCAACTTCTAGTTCTAGCAAAAAGACTTGAATATGAACATATACAAGTGACTGAAAATGAGGGAAATGTAATCAACAAGCTGCAGCTGCTACCTCATTAAGCAAGAACCTGATCAAAGTGCCAGACACCTGAGCGTACATCAAGGAAGTCACAAAAATTAACATTTTGAAAAAGCACTGAAGAAAACTATATCAAAGCAAGAAGAATAAGATGCATGAATGAAGCACAAATAGAAATTCTCACCATGTCCTTTGCCAACTCTTCTGAGCTGAGCAACATACTCGGATATCTTTTTGATGGCTTCCACCTATGAAAGGAAAAATAATAATATAAGAGCAGAATTTGGATTCATGTGTCATACACAAGTGTGTATTACTGAATCTAAATATGGTAAGTTACAACAGAGGTTTCATGCACACCTGTTCACCCAAAAACTCACTTTCCACAAAGTCTGCCAAGTTTACATCACCATTCTTTGAGGCAACCTGTAGAAAAAGAAATGAAAGTCCATTATATCAATTTCAATGTCAAAATGAATGAGACAATACAAGCACAACTAGTAAAACACGACTTACACTGTGCAGGTTAAGGAGTTTTTCATTTGTAAGCTTCTCCAATGAGAGTGCAAGTTCCATTGCTGCAATATAGGAAAACAAAATGTTTGATTATGATATATAGGGAATCCATGCGGTTAACAATAGTACAAAGGTGAAATCAAAATCTTGTGTAATCATTACCAATCACAGAACAAAATATCTAAACCAAAAAAAGAAACTAACCATACAGCGCATCACCCTTATCAGCATGATCAAACTCAGAAAGTGGCGTCACTATAGATTGCAACTTCACTCTTCCACCCCTTTTGTTCTAAAATCAAAACAAAATAAACAATCAAATTTAAAATAAAAAATCACACTATAGCACAAAAAAAGGAGAATCATACAAAATAAGTAAAAACAGAAATCATTATATATTAACCAAATTAAACATTTCATAAACCATTTCTATTAGGTAAAAAGTAGAAAAACCTGATATTCCATCAATTTCTCAGCATGCCCTCTTTCCTCTTCACTTGATTCTTTAAAAAATCTATAAACAAAACAAAATTCATAACATTTAACAATAATTAACAGCAATTTCTAGCCAAAAATCAGACAAAATAATTTAAATTATCACCACTTACTTAGCAAGACCTTTAAGCGCAACATTATCTCTATCAAAATACGCATACATCGCATGGTAAACGTACGAAACATTATACTCCACACTGTACAACAACAAAAAACCAAATAAATCAAAAAAATCAAAAAAATCAAAAAATAAAATTACTGAAGAGAATGAAACGAAGACGAACTTGATTTGTTCGTTAATAGCAGCTTCAGATTCGGCATGAAATTTATGGCGAGCAAGAGACTCTTGTGGAGAAACAGGAACAAGATCAAGTTCCTTTTTAACCTCTACAAAAGGTTCAAACAACACACCAGTCAAAACACGGTTATTGCTAGAGCCTTTCGTAGCACAAACCGCTAATCGGTCCGGTTTATGAAGAGACGGAACCAAACGCGAGTTTTCAGAATTGAAGAGAGAAATTGAGGGAGAAGAAGAAGCGGTTACGGCGGTTTTGAGAAGCATGATTATGATTAGGGTTTTTCTACAGAACGGAAATGAAAAAAGTTTAAGAGGAGTGTGGTGTGAGTGTGTATGAGAATGATTTAGATAAGTGTGGGATTTTATTGAGTGATTGGAGATGTGGTGACCGTTGGATTTGGAGAAACGTGGAGGGTTGAGATTGGAGGGCGCGTGGTATGCTCGTGGTCGTGGTATAGTTGGTTAGCTGTCATTTTTGTCCCACTAAATATCTAGATTCTTTTTTGGTTTTAAAATTATATTGTTTTTTTATTGATGCGTTTTCTGTCGGTATGATAAGATCAAAACCGAAAGTATGTAAAATAAAATGGAGATGAATGTCATTTTGTTTCTTATAAGTGTGGGAATATGGGAATGTGGAGATGGATGACATTAATCGTTGGGCTGAGAGTCTATAAAATGCGTCTTCTCTTATTTATAGTATATACTAAAAAAAATTAATATGACATTAAATATAAATTTTTGGAGTATTATTACTAAAAAAATTTAATATAGGAATAAATATAATTTTTTATTATTTATTAAACAGAAAAAATAGATAACAACAGTAAATAATTATAGGTATTATTAAAATTAAAAAATTTTAAAAATTATAAAAGATTAAAAACGATATGAGTTATATAATACTATATATATTCTTAATTATAATATTTTTTATAATTATTATTTATTAGCATAAGATTTTTTCCCTAAATTTTTAACTTTTTTTTTTATAAGCAATGAATGTATTAATGAGAGAGTATTAGAGGTACTCTAACCCAAATACAAGACAATAAACAAAACAACATCAATTACAAGCATTTAATACATTCAATATAGTTTTGACACCACTCATAGAAGTTGCATAACACCTTTCCCTTTAGATATATAACAAGCCACTTCCAAGTAAACACCTTTAACTTTGAATATCACTTCACCTACATCACCAATGTCTCCTTTGAAAATAATATCATTGCGGCTCTTTCAAATGCACCAGCAAACAACTAACTAGACAACTCACACTCTATGTTTTTTCATTCCTAACTTGTAAAAGTTATCTCTCACCTTTAAGAAGTGGCTACAACTCCAAAGTTCTATTTGAGTCCACAATTGGATTTTATCCTAAACATGTCTCAACACAGTACAATGGATAATGACATGACCGGTATCTTCTTCTTCCCTAAAAAAACTCAAACTTTGTTCGACGGTATGAACAATATACCTCTTTTGGCAAGCTGAGATCTTGTTGCCAATCTATCTTGCAAAAGTCTCTACTCAAACACCTTAACTTTGATAGGAACCAAAGTGTTTCACGTAGCCTTCGGTGCTAAACTACACATCGCACTTCAGAAACCTACATCCATTTACTATAACGAGAACTAACTGAAAAACCATTGTCATAAGGCCAAACAACAACAACACTATGTTGCATAATGGGATTACCAACATAAGACTTTATAAAGCCACCAACTGAACCTGCACATCAGAGACTACATAATTAACAGTACTTGTAACATTCCACGACCAAACTACCCCAACCAAAACTTGTAGTCAACCACAAACCCTTCTTTGAGCTCACTGGCATGATACAATTCTAGAAATTATTCTAATAAAGTCATCGAACTCAACAATTTAGCATGCCAGAATAGGATATCTTCCTCATTCCCTAACTTGAAAGTCACCTAATATCTTACCCCTTCATCCGTTGTAGAACCCATAATTTTTAGTAGATCCTCCACAACAGTGAGTCCCTATTGTTCAACTTGTGAGTATCTCTACACCAAATTTTGTTTGCAAGCATTCCCGTATCTAAATTGGATGATACCTGACGAAATTGCATCTTTTTTACTTAATATTCTCCAAACCCATTTACTCAACAGTCCTTATTAAAACTTGCGATGTCTTTAATACCCAAGCCACCAGCTTCTTTTGGTCTACATATAGATTCCCAGTTAATCCAACACACACCTCTATTCTTCGCCTTACCATACCATATAAAATTACCTAATTTAAAAGAGTTGAACCACTCCCAGTGCAATGTCATATGGTAGGAGCACCCAGAATTAAGAATCCATGCATTCATGCACTTTACGGATGACACGCAAATCAAATCTTTTTCACTGTAAGAACCATTAAATTGAACTACATTTGTTGAACTATTGTTGTCTGACTTGTTTGGACAATCCTTCGTCCAATATTCAATTTGCTTGTAACCATAACATTTTGTTGTTTTTTTGTCCTTGGATTTGAACCTATTTTTCTTTCCAGAACACACTGCCTTACCATTGTCTATGCCATAGTCTTGACCTCCCTTCACAAACAACCTTCACTTAAACTTCCTCCACCTTCCTCTACACTTTGGCGATGTTGTGTGTGTTGCAAAAGAGTAGAAGAAATAAAATCCAACGTGATTATTTCCCTCCCGTATGTGAGAGTGGTCACCAAGTGATCATAAGAGAATGCTAAAGAGCATAATAAAATAATGGCTTTATCCTTATCGTCAACCTTTTCACACTAAGCCGTGTCAAATCAGCGAGGATTTTGTTGAAAGCATTGACATTAGCCTGCAAATCGCCTTCTTCCCGCTTCTTAAGGCTATAGAGATGTTGTTTCGCGAACAATTTTTTCATGAGCATCTTGGACCTATATTGTTTTTTCAATTTATTCTAGACATCCTTCGGAGTTGTTAGGTCTAGGATATGATTCAACACGTGTTGTACCCCAATTTTTTCCCCTAAGATTCCTCTTTTATTTCATATCATCACAATGCAACAAGATCACAAACTAAGGTTTGGTTCCTCTCCTTGTCTTTGGCTTTGCTCATGGGGAACTACCAAGCACCTTGACTGGTATTTTTGTGATCATCTATGTTTGGTTTTAATTAACTTCTAGCTAATAATACAATGAATGTTTGTCCTAATTGATGATGTTATATGTGAGAGCACAACATTTTCCATCAAGTTGATCTACAGGTTCATAAGTCTATTTCCATACCTTATTCAACAAAAGCTTCATTGATATTCAAGCCTCATCATTTAAGATGTTTTGAAATAATATCATGACAAATTCTATTATGAGTCATCATGCCTCAAGTTGTCAAAGATATTCAAAAGATACAAGGTTTGATTGAAGAAGTTTGACCTAGTTGGATAAACTCTTGATTTCTTGATCACAAGTACAAATTTTCCTCAATTCCCAATATTTGGAAGTGGTTATGGTTGGTATGGTTCCTCATTATCATCCTCAATAACTTATATTTACATGACAAAAATATTTGTGCAAGAAGGTTGGTCAAAATTGAAAAGGGTTCTCAAGGAATTTTGTTGCTCTAGGAGCTAGGATTTTGAACTTCAAAAGGGTATATCTTGCTTATATTTTGGTATTTTTGAGTGATTCCTAAGGCATGCTTCTTTTAAAAGGGTTATCAATAAATCATTTCAAGTTTTCAAGGAAACTTTGTGTGAAAGATACTTGATGATGAAGAAAGATTACAAGTCCTCTAGATGAACCATCAATTTCCCTTATGCGACTTCAAAGGACCATAACTTGGTCAATTTTTATCTCTTTGAGCCTATTTTTTTCCACATTGATTTTAATAATGTGAACTTCATCCCTTCTTTTAAGTGCAAAATCTGAAAATGGATAGAAAATGCCCTAAGGATGCAAAAGATTATAGCTCATCTTATGAATTTTTGCCAACTTCAACAAGTCATAACTCTCTTAATTTTTTGAGATTTTGAATGGTTCAAGTCTCAAAATTTTATTCAAGAGATCTATTGCATGCCATATTTTTTGGTCAAAAGCAAATTTCAAATGGAAGACCATGTTTGGATGCAAGATATTATAGGTCATTTTTGAAGAAAAACTTAGAAATTTTCTAAGTATAGAAAGTCAACCTATTTTTCTCAACTTTGACTCATTACAACTTTCAGCTCAGGCATCTATTTGATTCCATTCTTTTCACATTATAAAGCTTGTGATCTCATATTTTTAAAGCTTCAAGAATCATGTCTTAAGACTCCTTGAGCTGAGAATGCCATTGGTTTAAAAGTGGTACCTTGAAACTGAAGTTTCAACTCAAGTCAGAATTTGAAATCCTTGATTTGGCTTCTAAACACAAGTTTTCTGTGCGTTTTTGCTTCTAATCATGTTTAATGAACTTCCAAAAGTGATTAGCACATTGAAACGCAAGGTTTGGATGAGTTTTGATCAAAATAGAAGTCACACTTTTCTTGTTTGCAACTTCACACGATTTCCCTCCAAATCCCATCATTCCACATGCTTGAGCATTCAATCAGCTTCCCTATAAATAGAGGACCATACATCATTCATTTTCTCAAGCTTAGAGAGCTAGAATCACCTTGTCAAACTCCCTCTTGAACTCAATTTTCTGCAATTTTGAATTTGCTCTCACAACCTTTCTCAATCCATTTTCTTTGTCAATTCTTCCTTGAACCTCACTGAAGCTAACAGAAGAAGAATTAAGCTCTAAGCCTCCCTAAATCGTGCTAGCCAAGTCAAGTTTCAGAGCTCTGCAACTTAACTTCAATAGGTAGATTCCTTCACCAATTCTCTCAAACTTTGATATTGTTATGAAGCTCTCATCATCTTGATCCTAGTTGCAACACTTATTTTTAACTGGAAGTACATTTTGGTCATGAAATTTCAAATCCCTTTTCAAAACTTCTATTCCAAAACGACTGAGCTACAACTTATATAAATTTTTCGCGAGGGTACCATTGGAATCATCTTAAAGAGACGAAGTAAATGGTACCGGCCTCATGTTCTAATTTTAAAATTTCATGAACCTGCAAATCTCGTGGCTGGAGGTTGAAGATGACTAATGTGTCATCTATCAACCAATGAAAGCATGCCACACTTTTTTGCAAAATCTGATTTAATTAATGATTTCATGCTTTATTCACTAAAGAACATGATATGCACAGCGCGTCTGATCCATTGGATTAGCTTACTAACGCTTGACTCTCATCCATTGGTCCATATTTTTTTGACTTTATTTTTTATTTCTAATTTTTTTATTTTAATTGTTTTAAACTTCCAAAATTCATAGAAAATTCATTTTTGATTCAAAAATTATGGAAAAATTTACAAAAGTATTTTTCAAATATTCTCTTTCTAAACTTTATTTTTTCATAATTTTATTTTTAGATTTGGTATTTTTTATAATTTTTCTTTGTTTTGGTTTGCTTTTAATTATTTAAAAAAATACTTTTGAGCATTTTTAAATTCTGAAATAATTTATCAACATCATTTCCATTATTTCTGACCTTCTAAATTTTTTTTAGAATTTTATTTTGACTTCTACTGTTTTTTATCTTTTTCCACTTATTTAAGCAATTTTAATTCGTTTAAAAATAGTTTCTAACTTTAAAAAATCACCAAAAAATGTATATAAATATTTGTACTCATTTCTGATTTTTCTATAATCTTATTTTATTTTTCTTGGATATTTTGAATATAGTTGCTATTTTCTCCTTTTATTTTTATTTTAAGACTATTTTAAAAATATTTTTTATTTATTATGAAATATAATTTTATTGTTCATATATTATGGCTGATCTTGGACTATGAAATTTTGATCATGAGTTTTATTAACATCATTGAGTCTATGGTGTTGAGTTTACTCCACAAAAAATAGATGAATGATTTTAATAATAGTTTGATTAAATTTTTTGTTCAAATGTGGTTTAATTCTTACCCCATCTCTTTTTATCTTATCCCCTTCTTTATTGTACCAAGTGTTATTAGAGAATGATTTACATATAATTTCTCAAACATATGGTATATAGATTGCTATTGACCGGCCTCAAAATATGTGCGACTTCTATATAAGTCCACTTACGATTGCTTAACGTAGCACTAAATTTTGTCCTGATTCAAGAAATGATCATTCGTGACCCAAACACATGTTTGTAAGTCCAAGTATGTTAATTTGAATTCTTTGATCCAATAACCTTGAGGTTTATTGTTAGGAGACTTTGGTCTTATCAATCCTCTAATGAATCTTCATAATCTTTGGTCAAAGTGAATCACTTAAACATCATTGATCATTTATTGTTACCTTGAGAATTTAAATGGATGATATACTTGACAAAAAGCAAATGAAACTTGTTGTTGAGGGGCATTGGTTTTATCAATCCTCTAATGATTTTCAAATGTAAGATTCAAGATGGTCATTCAACTAACCTCTAATTTATAACAATTGACTTTATTTGATGATTTTACTTTATGCCTTTACTTTAAGCACATTTATTTTAGCATTTTTCATTTCATGCTATTTTCATATTTGCTTATTTGAGAATTTATCTTTATGTCATTTTTATTTTGCTCACTTGAGATTTTCATTTCTTTTTGAAGATACCTAATAATCAACTTGAACCATAAAAAACTTTAATGTTACTTAGACTACTTGGTTACTATCCTTGTCATTTATGGAGATTGTGGACTTCTTGGACTTAGGATTAGAAACCCTGACCTATCTTTGAGACCTTGTGACCTCAAATGTTATTTTTGTCTGGAGTTCTTGGGGTTTTCCCCAAGACATTGGGTTTTTTGTTTGTTTTGTGTGCATGTTATTGTGATTACATGCTTTGTCTGTGATCTGGAATTCATATGTATACAGTTGTTACTCTGTCTAATTTTTGTGAAGACTTAATGCAAATGAAGCTTGATTTTCTTAAGAGGTTTGTTATCTTTGCTTGTTTATTTTCAAATCCAAAAGATCGAAATTATACATTGACTCATTATGTCAAGTGTTGGCTTCTTGTTGGTTAGACGATTCTTTTCCCTAACTTTTATCTTATGCTTTAGGATAGTCCATTCTTCTCTTCCCACCTTCTTTAATTTCAAAACTCTTCTCCCCCATTTTGAAAACTCTTCTTGTTTCTAAACTTGAACCGCTTTCGTAATAAACTTAGACTTAGGTCCATGCACTTTCAAAAAACATTTTCTTACTCAAACTTTAATCAACTTAATAATACTTTGAAATTATTGTGAGAAGACTAAAAGTCAATCAATATCATTCAAACTATATTTGCCACTTTGACTTTTCACCTTAAAACTTTTCTCAAAAGATTAGACTATTGTCAATCTTTATAGTGATGCGAGCTATTATACTTCTATGATATGTAGTGAAGTGAGATATTTTCCATTTGGGTGTTGAGTGAGACTTTGTTGATTTTAAAATCCAATTCATATCCCCCACTTTGAGATGACGCAAATTCCCCTTTCTCATAATTGTGGGTAGTAAGTATGTTCTTCCACTCGGATAAGACGATGATGTCTCGTCTCTTAAAATTAACCAACACATTTATGTTTTAAAATTTTTAAAGGTGAACTATGAGTACCCTGATCCCCTATTGCAGGGAAGGTGGTAAGTAGGAACTAAAGGTTCGCAACCGCGGTGGGTGAAAAAATTATAAAAAATACTACTTTTCTCATCTCCACCATCTAATTTTTTTTATACAACATTTATAGCGAAAATACACAGATTTTCAAAGAGGTTCCCGTGGAGTACCGTAGATGTTTAGGGTGCTAATATCTTCCCTTTGCATAACCAACCCCCAAACTTAGATTCTCTCCCCCTCTTTTTGGGTTATTCGCTCTTTTCTCATTCCTCTGAAAACAATAAAGCATGGTGACGATTTTGATTTGATTTGTGCGAGTCGAGTCAATCCAATGACTTAGTCTCAACATTTCTACCGCTACAGAAAAAATGGCGACTTCACTGGGGAAAGATCGACCTATTACTGGTCCATCCCTAAGTGGGTTGATCCTATCTTTGCTTATTTGTATATGTGTTATTATCTGTTGTATATTATGTGTTGTATATATGTTTGTCTGGATTTTCCTGCTTTTCAGCGTGCTTGGTGATTTCTCATAAGTCCTACACCCATACTTGGGTAAACTTAAGATAGGACGGGCCGTATAGTCATGTTAACTTTGAGGGAGTAATCCCAAAAAAGGAGACATGAGATCCCCCACTCAGTGGATGCCTCTTTGACTATAGTATCATTTACTGAGTAATCGGGAAGATGTGTTGCTTTCGACCTGGGAGCCTGCTGAAACTGAGGACCGTAGAACCTTTAACCCATCTTGGCCTTTTAGGTGTACTGCGTAAGTTATGACGAAGTAATTCATAAATGGTTGTCACGCGATACTACGCTCAGATGAGTTTTTCTTGAGAATATTGCTAATTATCGAGTCAATCAGGAAGTTGGTAATATCCGAAGGAAGGATGTAGACTCTGGGAACCTCTTAGAACCTTATTCGGCAGGTGATAACTTTTAGATCATACCTTATGGGTAGTACCTTCGACCTCATGCTCGCGACATTGAATCTATGAGATAAACAAGGGAAAAATACCAAACTAACAAAAGTTCGTAGCATGGCAGACAAAGCAGAGAAACCCATAAAACTTTGAGTAAACTTCACCAAGCAAAGAAAAGAGTAAAATAAAATGCTCGGGATAAGTGTCGAAGCATCATCGATGTGAAAATAAATCATAATCGAAATTTCAAGCGCATCCGCGTATCGCACAATAAACCTGCATAAGACTTAAATCTCAACAAGCAAAGGTGAATTACAAGATCAAGCGAAATGATTACTAAACATAATTGATAATAGAAAATTATAAACAAACTTCTACAAAAGAAATTCTAGGAAAAAAATATATTATATTCCACTATTCTAAAAAAAACTATAAAAAATTAGAAAATTAATTCCTAATCACAAAAAAAAAAAAAGTCTTATCGATTTTGTAATTTTTTATCAAAAATCTATAAAAAAAAAAGGGAAATGTCATGGAAATTTAAAGAGAAAATTAAACTAAAGGGGTGTTAAGCTGAAGTCAGGGGGTGTTGCAGAAGTAAATGAGGCGCTAAGGCCCATCAGACTGAGTCTAAATAGTAGTTTTTCGTCAAAACCTTAGCATTAAGCTCCAAAAACAGTGGCATGGGCTGAGAAGGATAAAGCCTTTTTTATTGTAAGGCAAGATCAAACAAAATTAAACGAATCCAAGAATCTGGTCCAAGCCTAAATCCTCATTCCAAGGAGAGAAACAATATCGTTTGGGAGTTAGAGTTCAAATTATTGAGTCCTTTCAACTTCTTCGTGAAAAATATCTGCCCCCTCTCTTCTCTCTCAACCACAGCGGCGTCGTCATTCTCTTCTCAAATCCTCGTCCACTTATATCATCATCGTCTCCTTGTCGTGCCACCACCTCCGCCGCCACAAATTCTATTCTCTTGGCTTCGCTTCGCCCCTTCGTTCACCATCTCGCTTCCATCTCAAAACGTCTTCAAACTAACTGATTCACAAGTTCTACCTGGGGATAACAAGAACAAAAAAGAGCTAAGAGCTTCGAAGGCTATCGATCGGAGACTCTCTGATGGCGATTCATCAATGTCGGTAATGAAAAACTCTAGTAAGCATTCATGATTTTTATTTTCTTCTTCTTCTACCTCTTTTTAGATTGACTTCTCTGCAAATCTCTGAGCGTGCGAATTTTTGTCCGAAGTTGCAGATCGCTGAAGTTTGATGAAGCTTTATGAAGCTTGAAGATAAAACACGGTTGTAGAAGATTGAAGGAGGTGCGATAAAGAGAAGCATGTGCCTTTTGCTGATTGAAGCCGAGATTAGCAATTGAAGATGATGTTATTGTTAATGCAAATTGAAGAACGATGAAAGTTGAAGTGTTGTCGTTGTTCATTCTTGAAGCAGTGAGATTTTGTTGTGTTGACACTAAATATAATCGAGAAAGATTGGTGAGTTTTTCGTGTTGGTGTTGCAGGGAATTGGTGCAGATTGAAGATGAAGATGGAGAGAGAGAATTTTCCGTGATGCTTTTCAGAATTAGAGACTGGATGATGAAAGGTGAAAGAAAGGGAGATAGTTTTATTTTTTGGATTTTGTGGTGTATTGCTCTGCAGTTGAAGAATCCCCCTCTTGAATCTGAGAAAATTCTGTTATATCCTTCAGTTGGTAGAAATTCAGTTAGAGTTTGTTAGAGGAAGTTAGGAAACAGTTAGGAATCCGTTAGCGCTCTGAATGAAAGTTGAGCTCTTATGACTTTCACGTTTTTTTGCAATTTTTTTATTCCAATTTCTGATATTTGATTTATACTTTCCCTGACTTTTTATTGCAGGTTTTCTGAACTGGTTTTTTATCTGGATTTCTGTAGGATGGCTTTGAATAGGTTGGATCAACCAAATATATAAAAGAGGTTCCAGAACCAAAAGAGCAGTGAATTGATATTTTCTCCATACCAAGTCTAAACAAAACATTCGGAGCAACAACATCTAAGAACCATTCACTCTGAACTTGTCCACATCCAAAAACGAAATTTGCCTCAACAAGGTCATGATGATCATCTTCTCATGTTAAGTGCATAACATCCTCCACTAATATTCCATACGTAGAGGTTTCAGCGGAGACATAAGAGACCATGTAAGGGCAGTTGCTGATGTATCTGGCACTAGAGGCAATGCATTTGAAGAGAATGAGTCTGATAGAAAACCAAGTGAATTTGTTTCACCGTAATTATAGGTGGTTAGGGCAACTGATATAGGGCCGCGCGGGTCAAAGAAATCATCAGTGGGCTCAATTTCCTGGGTTCCAGATGCAGATTTATCATTTGGTTCTGATTTTAAATTGGCGGCTGATCTGTTTGCACCGTTTGCGATTGCAAAGTTTATGTTAAAAGGTTAGCTTATTTGAATTTCAGTTGAGGGGCAGTTAGAAGTTCTATTAGAATAGAGTCTAATGTGACTACGGTGGTTAGTAGAAACTAGAATTCGATTGAAGTGGGGTTAATATTGATACAGTTCAGTTATAACTAGGATTAATTTGAATTGGTTTGAAGCTAGGTTTAGCATAAATCATGTTAGTTTCTATTTCTGGTTTTTGCAAGGCTGATTATTGGTATATTATGCTAAATGTAAGTTTGAAACAAGGCTCATCACAGCAACTGTTTTAGCATGGTGTAGATGGCGCCTTGGAGTAAGATTCATCAAGCCTTTTTGGGACCTATTTGGCACGATTTTGACAATTGTATGCAGAGCTGTTTTGGTCTAACTGTCAGCTTGGTTTGGAGACTTGAAAGAAAACATGGAATTTGGTTGAGGCATAAAGATAGAGAGCATGGAAAGCTAGGTTTTATATTCTCACATATGGTCTTTTGCCAATTCTTGCAATGTCCATGATATTTATAATTTGAGCTTCTCGCTTTATTATTGGTGTAATGATTTGAGTTTGTAAATGACAATGGTATACTCTAACAATTGAACTTTGAATGATGAGGTTTTGGATGAAATTTGGATAGATTTTGAGTAAGTTTTTTTTTTTACATTTCGCATGAAATTATAGATCTTGATCATGAATGTAGTTTGAAATCTTTAGAATTCAATCAATCTTCCCAAGTATTCAAAAAGTGTATGCTTTTCTCCCTCAAATTGAATTTGGATTTCACTTAATTTCTTTTGCACTTGTAACTGAATACTAATTTCTTTGATCCTGAAATACCGTTGATAGAATAATAATGAATATTATGGACTTTGATGATGAATGTGTTTGAACCATGATTTCATAATATTCTTTCTTTCTCCAATATTTCATGCTTATCATGACTCGAAAGTATCAATGAACGGAAATACCAATGTACCAAAATTTTCTTCCAATTGCCCCTTTGACATTTGGAGATTTCTTCTTGATTTTGCAATATAGAATGAATCTCAAATGAAACTTGAATTTTTATGAATCTTGTTTGAACCACGAATCTTGAATCTCAATCAAACTTCCTTCCATGTTTGCACCAACGGATCCATATACGAAAGCCCCAATAACTTAAACTTAACTTTGAGACGATCTTATATCAAATCCATAATATTTTCTTGTAAAGCACATAACCAAATGAACCAGCCTTCTTCTGATGATTCACAATACTTAATTGTGAGGTGCGCCACATGAATGTAATGAAACTAAACCCTTAATATCCATCTAATGACCAATAACACAACAAAGCGAATCCCCGACCGTGATTAAATCTCAAATCCCATGCCTTGTTTTGAAGCAAACCACTATGCAAACCCCCCACTTGTGACGATAATTCCTGAAGAAGAACCTTCATTAGAGTATAATAGCTGAAAAAAAGTCTTGATCTTTGCTCGTACTTAGAGAAACAAACCCCAATAGCCTTGTAGCTTGATGAAGCAAGAAATTCTTAATGACCACGACTCACAACCCTAATTCCACTGCTCACTGCCTGAATAAGAAATCAACCTTTATTGGATACGATCTCTATAACTACTGTGAAACCCTAATATTGCACGACCACTGAACTTTGAACCTCAAGCTCTTTATTGAATGCAATGTATGCTACGTTAGTGACATAATGGAATATATGTGAATGATTGCGAAGGTCTAAGCCAAATAAAAGAAATTAGAAGGACAAATTTTGGGGGGCAACACATACGCCCAACAACAACCCCAACAACCAACCCCTCAACAATACCAAACCCAACAACCAACCCCTCAACAATACCAAACCCAACCACAATGTCAACCCACTCAAATCCAACAACCATACACCACCAGATTCAACCAAACCCGTCATCAATTCATGCCACACACACAAACACAATACCAAGAGCATGACCCGACCCATCACCAACAATATGCACCATCCTCATCCTACCACAACACCCAAGACACATATGATACATCTCCTTCCTACCATACCATCCAACCTACATACAATCAAACATCACACCATCGAAGTACCCAACCATCATACGAATTTCATACATCATAAAAACTGTTGCTTCGTTTCCAACACGATTCAACATCCCGATACTATCAACCACCCACCCACACATATCCCAACCAACAAGACCAAACTTCAACAACACGGGGCACCGATCTCTTTGGAAGCACAACACAATGGGACGAAATGATCGATGAGATGTATGATCCTGATGTACCAGGACCATCACATCAAGCACCTCATAATCAAGCGAGTCAGAATAAACCCCAAACATCTCAGGAAAATCAACAGAGAGGAGTGAGACAAGGGGTGAGGCAAAGACGAAGCCATTTATGTCATATTGGGACCCGCTTAGATTGAGGTGACGTCCAAAAAAAATATATCCATACGTTGTGTAATATAAAATATTTTTAGTTACTTTTATTTTTATTTTAAAAAAATTAATAAATACAACTGTTAAGCCACACTAGATAGCGCCTCTTCTCTAACATTACATGCACGCGCCACACTGCATAGCTTTACAGAGGAAGACAACTCATGCAGTGTGGCGTCTCTTCTCTAAGTTGTATGCACGCGCCACACAAAGTGACTACTATTCTGTGACGAGTTTTTTTATTTGAAAAATAATTAGTTTGATAATTTTTTTGAAAATGTAATTAGTTAAGAATTTAAAAAAAAAATGTGATTATTTAAAAAAATAATTCAAGATACTCTTCTCATATATATATATATATATATATATATATATATATATATATATATTTCAATCTTTTAAAACAACTTTGTTCAGTTTTATTACTCTATTCATTAGTACACTTAATAAAACATGAATAATTATTAAATGTCTAACAAAACAAAATTAGTTCCTTCTATATGCTTGTCGCTAGCAGTACAACTACATGAGTACATAAATGATAAAGCATGGACTTAGTTTTGGACTTGATTAGACAACGAGTTGAAATTGCACAAACTGGATACACAACTAAAAGGGCAAATAACTGGATACACAACTAAGTACAAGGTTACTTTATGTTTAGTTAGCAAACCAGGTAAAAAGGCAAATTGTTTTTGAGTGAAATTTTTTAACCAAAATTAAAGTATAAATTTACGTTATGTTAGGAGACAATAAACTGATAATGTATCAGCTATTAACATGTTAATAATGTTTGTTGAGATGGTTACTATTAACATTTTTAAATTCATGATAAATTGTTAAGACTACATGTAACATTTTTAGTGCGTTTGTTATTCCAATTTTGTATCATCTTATTATTATTATTATTATTATTATTACTAGTCGATAACCTGTGTTGTCGCACGAGACCGGTCGAGAATTCATAAAACGTGGAACTAATGTTGTCATGTAACAGTAAATTCGTTTATATGTAATTCAATAAAAGTTCATCTAATTCGGCCAAATTCAGTGTATCAAACTTATTTGACAACATTAAAAAATGTAAACTGAAATCATGATTGTGTAACAAAATAAGAAACTGTGATGACTCTTCAAAATAAGAAACTATCACGAGTTTTCAGATACAACGCAACCAGCTTGGAAACGATGTTTTCAACTTTTTGACCCGCACAATAAATTATGCAAAAATTAGACAGCATTTACGGAAACAATTTATATTAAAGAAAATATTTGTTATTATGTACTTACCGATCAACAAAGAGATTGGAAAACTTCTTTGTATACAACATTTGTAGTGATAGATGTTGATACATTCATACTATCATGTATTAAGATCTTCAGACCACTTTTGCTTGTAACTCTTGAAATGGCTACATACAACTGGCCATGACTGAATACAGGAGTAGGCAAATACAATCCAACTGTATCAAGTGATTGGCCTTGAGACTTATTAATTGTCATTGCGTACGACACAATAATTGGGAACTGTCTCCTAATCAACTTAAATGGCCGGAAGGTGACATAGACATTCGAGGGATGTAAAAGATGTTACCAACATTCTTACCAGACATGATCTTTGCCTCAATAACGTGATTTGCCAACCTTGTAACAATTAGTCTAGTTCCGTTACACAAACCATCGTTTTGGTCTAAATTCCTCATAAGCATTATTGGTGTACCAACCTTTAATCTGAGTTTGTGATTTGGGACACCTGAAGTCCTAAGCTTGCTAAGAAATTCTGGAGTAAGACATTCATAGGCTTCGGTGTAACTTGAATCAGTTCTATCAATCGAATCAAAACTCAAATACTCTTTGTCCTCACCTAAGAAATGGGAAAACGCAAATCAATCCATAATGTTTTTTCAAGAATAATTTAATAACGAAACATCTACACGAAAATAAACATCAAAAGAAAAAATAGTTTACCCGGTATCATGTCTAACACGTAATGATTAATTTTATCAACAACTTCAATGGTTGAAGCAAGTATTGCTTTTCCTTGTAGAAATTCTACATTTTGAAAGTCGGCAAGCAAATTTGGGTATGTGCTTTCAACTATAGCTCTTATTGGATCCTCAAAATTGGAAATTAACAAATCCGGAGGAATTTCTATATCAGCTAATCCATCGTTAGGTTCACATATTTTACCGTCGCCAACATTTAATATCCATTTAGAGAATTCTGCAAGTTCATCAGAAGTTGTACCGTCCCTCCCATTCTTTAGTCTCATGTTTTTGGTTAGTGTTAAGACTTGGCAATAGTGTTTACCGTGGTTATTGGTAAACAACCGCTGATCCTCCAAATGGTTACTTATTTGGTTACTCGCAGGATCGATCAGATTGATCCTAGGACATAGGTTGATTTTGAGGTTTTGATTAAATTGGATAATGGTTAAATGACAATAAAATAAAGAGGCTTTAAGTAAATTGCATGAAGAAATAGGCTTGGTAAAATAAATGAAGGCTTGCAGTAAAGGATTTCGACAGGAAAGTAAAGAAGAAAGCAAGTAAAGTTTATGGAAAAGTAAATGACTTTGATTAATAAAGTTGGTGTTTCACACATACATTTCTCAACAATTCTTTCTCACACGCTGGGTACTCGAATCTATATGAGTGACTTTGTATATAATTGTGAACACACGCGAGAAACTGCGTGAACTACTACTATTTATACTAAAACATCCCAAGTAACCGTCGGGCAGTTACACTGCTTCGAGATGATCCCACTTGGCACGTTCTCAACGTTCGACGCTCCAGATCTTTGCACGTTGCACTTGGTAACCGCTGGAAACTGTTTTCCCTCCAAACGCTTGAATTTCAAACCGTTC